AAAAAAAAAAAAAAAGTTGAGGTTGTTAAATCTTCCTCTCCCCCCCACCCCGGTTTTGTTGTTGTTGTTGTTGTTGATGTGTATATTTACTTTTATTTTGTTCTTTAATTCCTACTTTCTTAAGATACAAGCATAGATCCTTGAGTTTACACCTACACACCTACCTTCTTTTTGTGTATACTTTAAAATATTTAAAATATTTAAAATATTTAAATTTCACTCAAATGACTGATTAAGATTCATTCACAGAATTTGATATGCTGTGTTTTCATTTTATTCAGTTCAAAATGAATATGTTTTAATGTAATATATATAGATAATAAAAATATTGTTTCAGAAGAGGAAGTGGTGATGAAATTTACAAGAAAAAGTAGCTAAAACACAGTGTGAAATCCTCAAGGTTTAGAGAGTGGAAAAACCTATGTCCAGGCAAGAAATCCTTTGATCCCGTTCTTAGCACCAGAAAAACTATAAAATTTTAGAGTGACGAAAGAGGAGAACGAAATCATTCATTTTTTGAGTACATTGGTTACTATGTTGGGATTGTTACCTATGTCCTGTGATGTTTGAAGTTAAGTATAATATTTCAAATAATAATTGGGAGGTAATTACATTAACAGGTAATGTTTATCAACATTTGCAGCTCCAAAAAAATAATTGCTTTATAAAAAGCAAGGAATCAGACATCAAGAAATATGAATTCCAATTCTGACTCTATTCCTTACTAAATTGTAAGGAAATCTTGGAAAATTAAAAATCTTTAAGGCACACATTACTCATCTTTCAAAAATAAATACGAATAGTGTTCTCAGAAGGGCTAATATAAAGTTTCATCATTGCAATTTCTCAGAATTAGATAGCTTCAATGCAGGTACTTGAATACATACCAAGAGCACTTATAAAGACAAAGCTAATACAAGCATTTTTCATCATGGAAAATTATAGTTTCTAAAGATTGGATTTGCCAGTAGTTTGAAACATGACATGAAATGAAACTTTGTAGACAGACAAAATCTTGCACTCCTATAAGTATAGCTTATAAATGTAGGCTACTTTGAATAATAATACAAAACAATACTATTTATAAGGTTGTATATCTTCCTTTATAATGCTTTACTTTTTCTGAAATCAAAGATATCTATTTTTGTGTCTCTTATACTGCCCCAATACCTGTAGTCACTTGGATTACTTGCAAAACTCTCGCTCTGATATAAGAGAAATAAAGTTTTACTTCAGTATATGATGTATTTGATTTTTTTTTTTTTTTTTTTTTTTTTTTTTTTGTCTTTTGCCTTTTTCCATGTCCGGCAACGGATCGCAACCCTCAGTGTTGCCCCCGTACCGGACCGGGGACCGGCAACGGGATTGCAACCCTCGGCGTCGCTCCCGCGCCTCACTCAGCCAGTGAGCGG